ATTCTTCGACTTAGAGAGAGAAAAAAATCAAAAAAAGAAAAGATTTTAGCGGCGAACGTCCTTGACTGATAGTCTAGTAGATCTTCCGTTAAATAAATATCATTTTTCTATTTTCAGGCTTCATTTATTGCAATAATTTTTTCCGAATATAATTTAATTGAAAGTGCTTATTTATTTCAAACAAATTTAAGTAAACAATGGATAGAAAATATTCGTCGAACAAAAGCAAATTTTCATTTATTAATGGAAGAATCAAAAATAAAATTTCAAAATTTACATAATCCAATATCACCACCATGTTGTCCAACATTAACAAATACAATACATCAATCACTTCCAAGTCTTTCATTACCATTAATGGAATCACCTAGTTTTAAAACGAATGATTCAAATTCATTAACAAATGATAATCAACGTTTATCAAAAGTTGAATCAAATGTATTTAAAATAGTTGAACAAACACGAAGAAATTCACGTACAGATCGTAAAAATTTTGGTCGATATTTTACAGCCGATGGTACAAGTACACATGGAACAACACCAACATCATCATCACCAATTAAACAAATGTTATCATCATCAACAACAATTATTAAACGTATGTCATGGAATAATGATCAAACTATGGAAAAAAATGATTCATCATTAATAACAAATTCATTTCGAAGTGTACATAGTTCAAGTGGTGTTAGTTCAACAGGTTCATTTTTATTTAGTACAGATGAAGATTCTTCTATAACAACAACATCGTCATCAATACCTTCAATTGTACCATCAATAAAAAATAATGAATGGGATGAAAAAAGTTTAGCATCAACTGTTACTGAAACAGATGATCAATTAATACAATCATCTTTAGATAATCAACAACAACAAAATTTAATATCAGAAGATTCAATTAAAAATAATCTTGAAAATAAAAATAATGAACATTTAATTACTCAAATGTCACCATCAAGTACAAGTACAATTATATCAAATAATCAAACATTAATTGGTAGGACAAAAAAAAGAAACAAACATTAATTTTCATCATTCTTTGAGTTCATAAGCTAGTTAGTTGGTTAAATTAAATTCAAAAACTAAATAAATAAAAAACTAAAAGTCATTTTTCTTAAAGTTCAGTCGGTATTTAAAGAATAAGTGTGATATTCATACTTAAACTAACGTTTTCTTTTTGAAGTGATTGAAGCTTGAAATTTCAAGTAGGTTTTACAACCATATATGAGCACTCTTCTTTCACAGGTGTTTCATTCAGCATGAGTAAGAAACAATACTCTACTGAAAATCATGATGAACATCTCAAAGTTAAGAATTTAGTACATATCCCAACAGATTTCAATGAAGGTTACCACTCTCATTTCCATATCTATGAGAAGATTAGACTGCTTATTTACTACTAATTGCTTTAAACTGAAAGCTAGATAATTTAATATCAAATTTATCTTAATTTCATTATCAATTCCTATTGTATATATTTATTTTATTAGAACCGACATCGTCTATCACTACTGATATATCTTCACCAGAATCTTCACTTCGTCGAATACCTTATCCAAGTGTAAGAAAACGAAATCAAACTCATTATCGTTCAGTTCTTCATCAACAAGCATATCGTCGATATAAAATTGCAAAAGATAATGATATAGAATCATTAAAATCTAATGATGATAATACAATAAATCGAACAATTCATTCACCTGTTGATGATTCATCATTATTTAGTAGTGGAAATGAAAGTGATTACGATAATAATCAATATACGACTATTAAAATACCGGTGAATGATCATATTAATTCTGATGAATTAACACATACAAATAATGAAACTCATATAGAAAATCTTAATGTTAACAACAATCAACAGTCAGATATAAAAACAATAACATCAAAAGATACACCTCATAGAGCTAATAAAATAACAACACTTAATGCAACAGCAACATTAGACGATAGTGAACCAACAAGTTTTCAACCATATCGTAAAGATCCAATAACAACTCGACGATTACTTGATATTCGAAGTCATTTATTATTAAATACAACACTTGATGCAACGTAAGTCTTTTCAATTAATTTGATTATTTCTAATGTCATTGTGTCTTTTTTTTTCTATTTCTCTTTAGGGAAGTATAGCAATTGAATGATTTATAAATTTCTTTTCTTTTTCTATTTCTTTGTCTCTCTCTCTATTTATATATATATTTTTTTCCTTCGTTTGTTTTCATTGTAAAAAGTTTTCTTGCTTGTGTGTGACAAACAAATAAAACCGAACAGATTCTTTTGTATTAACATTTTTCGATAATATTTTAGTACTGACATAAAGTTTAAATAAGCAAAACTAATCAATGTCAATTATGTACTTAACCAAGAATAAATAATAACTTAGAATCTTGTATAACACATTTCATTTTTTTAAAATGAATTGTCAATTGTCAAGCGTTGATTTTTTAATGAAGTTAATTTGTATTGAATATAGATTAGGCCATAAATGAATTTATGCTTACATACTAATGACCAATCAATAAAGATTATTGAGTTTTGTTTTTCGTGTTGTAAAAGGCAGTAGTTAATCGACATGAAAGCAAAATGTTGTTTACGAGTATACTAATTGACGAATGCATAGAAAGAACAGAAATTAAATTTGCTGATTACATTCATTAGTTCTCGCTCTAAAATAAATGTACTGAATGGTTAAAGCGTTTTCATATGAATATAGCTTTTTGTTAATAAATAGCTTTTGATAATCTTGGATTTGTTTTCAAAATATCTGATTTTGTCATGATAAACCCACAGTTCAGAAATTCGAAACTCAAGAAAATCAAATGAAATCCAGTGTTTTGGGTACAAACATTGAGACTGCATTTGTCAGTCTTTGTAACCATTTCGAAAGAGACAATATATGACAGTGTCTCGAGTCGTCTATTTACAAAATTCAGTTTTGAAAACTTCTGAATTGAAATTATATATGTTAATTTTTGTAACACCTTGAGTGCGGTTGAATGTAAAAGTGTATCCCGTCCTTTATTATAGAATTCTTTGCAGTTCCTTGAATATGACCTTAAATATTGCTGAATTTCTATTTTTTTTGGGGGGTGGTGGGTATTACTCATTATGTTTTTTCTTGTACATATTTTCATGAAGGATACTTTTAAATATTGATATATGATATAAGATCATATAAATTATTCTAATTTTTATGTATTTGTATTATTAAAAGCAATGATGATAGCCATATGTTATTTGAGTGCCTAGATTTTCTCATTAAGGTTAATTTACATAAACAGACTTTTGAAATACTTAAATTTTTTACTTCAACAACAAACGAATTATTGATTTGAAAGATAAAGAAGAAAGATTATTTGATTTCAAGTAAATTCATCAATTGAATTATTTTTGTTTCTTAAACTGAAGAACAATAAATAAATTTCTAGTTGAATAAATTTATGAGTTTCTTTCATATAATATTATGTACTAAATAGTTGTCTATTCATATACTTAACATATATATATTCATAAAAATTTCTTTTTCATAGTAATATAAATTTACTGAAATTATTTTTCTCTTTTCTTTGAAATACTCTTGAGAAAATAGCGTTTCTTCCCCCATGATATAGCAAAATGAATGATTCTTTGTTTATTATAAATAGTCATGTATATAAAGTAATGTTGATTTCATTCATAAGAATAACTCAGTAAAGTCTTTATCGATGGGTGTAATAAAACAATATATTATCCTTTGTAGCGTTGTTCTATGCTACATAATATGTCGAGGTAAGTACTAATTTTAATATGTTATAATTAACAATTCTTTTTTTGTTTAAAAACAAATTCATTAAGGTAATGCACTTCAATGTAAAACTTGTGAGGAAAATAATCCATCTTGTTTATTTGAACATGACATTAAAATACGTCATTGTGAAAATGAAGAGGATGTTTGTTATTCGTGGTTGTATCGCAGTGGTAAAGAATTTTTATTTTTTCCTTAACATTATCTATTTATTTTCGATCAAATAGGAAGTGAAATTGGAATACGACGTGATTGTTTATCGATTAGTTCTCCTGAATATAATTTAATCAAGGGGATACTTGGTACTAAAGACAATAATTGTCTTAAACGTATACGTGGACTTGATTGTTTTACAATTTGTTCGACCGATTTGTGCAATTAAATAGATAATCATATGAATAGATACACATATATATTCTGTACTACATTATTTTTCCTGTCATACCGAATAAATACACTATCGATTAAATAAACATTTCGTCTAGTTTTTTTTTCTGTTAGGCAATCAGTTTGAAAAGTGAAAGGAAAGAAGAAGAATGGTGTCCACATGTTCATTGTTGCTATCACTACGGCATACACCTATACGTTGTGCCTCAACTTTAGCTGAAGTTGTAAAAAAACGTTTAAATCTTGAGCTTGATTCTATTCGACAAGCAGGTACTTGGAAATCCGAACGAATTATATCAACAAGTCAAAGTTCACATATAAAAATAGAAAATTCTAACAATGATCTTTTAAATTTTTGTGCTAATAATTATTTGGGTTTGGCAAATAATTCTGAAATTATAAATGCAGCTAAAAAAGCACTTGATGATTATGGTGCTGGTCTTAGTTCAGTACGATTTATTTGTGGTACACAAACAATACATAAACAACGTAAGTAGTCTTCATTATTTAATAAAAAATAGATAAAGAAAAAAACCTTTATACCTAGTTGAACAACGTATTGCAAAATTTCATCAACGAGAAGATGCTATACTTTATATATCCTGTTTTGATGCTAATGCTGGAATATTTGAAACATTACTCAAAGAACAAGATTATATTATTAGTGTAAGTCATTGATACATTCTTATAATCTATATTGAAACAAAATTATTATATGATAATGAGTGTGAAAAGAGATCGAAAAATGAATTTTTATATTATCTACGTCAATCCTATTGAATATGATAAGCACTTCAAAAAAGAAAGAATCTATCTATTTTATTTAGGATGAATTAAATCATGCATCGATTATTGATGGTATCCGTTTATGTAGAGCTAAACGTTTACGTTATAAACATAAAGATATGTCAGATCTTGAATTAAAATTAAAAGAAAGTTTTAATGAAAATAATGATAATATTATTCGATTAATTGCTACTGATGGTGTTTTTTCAATGGATGGAACAATAGCTCCATTACCAGATATAAAACGTTTAGCAGATAAATATAAAGCATTGATTTTTGTTGATGAATGTCATGCAACTGGGTAAGAACTAATTTATTTATGTATTTATTTATTGATTGATTGAAATTAACTTTTATTTTGAAGATTTTTTGGACAAACAGGTCGAGGAACAGAAGAACATTTTAATATGATTGGAACAATTGATATTATTAATTCAACATTAGGTAAAGCACTCGGTGGAGCAGCTGGTGGATATACAACTGGTTCAAAAGTTCTCATTGATTTATTACGACAACGTTCAAGACCGTATCTTTTTTCTAATACACTTCCTCCGTTCGTTGAATTTCAAAATTTCATATTCTAAAATGTTTCTGTTTTGTACGTTTTAGTCCAATTGTAGCTAGTGCTATAAAAGCCATTGATTTAATTGAAAATAATTCAAATTTACCAGGACGTGTACTTGAAAATGCAAAATATTTTCGAAATGAAATGCAAAAACTTGGTTTTAAAGTAATCATTAAAAAAAAAAGTTCTAGTTTTTTCTTTGAAATTCTTATTTAAATTTAGATCTTAGGTGATAACCATCCAATATGTCCAGTTATGTTAGGTGATGCTCGATTAGCAAGTCAATTTGCTGATGAAATGTTAAAACGAGAAATCTATGTCATTGGTTTTAGTTTTCCAGTTGTATGTTTTATAATAAAACTTCGGTTTTTCTTTACTACGAAAGTCTATTATTTTATATAGGTACCAAAAGATCGTGCACGTATTCGTGTACAAGTATCAGCAGCACATTCCAAAGCTGATCTTCAACGATGTATTGAAGCTTTTGCTGAAGTTGGACGACAATTAAAAGTGATTAAATGACAATTTTTAAAGATAATATTCAAAGACAAGATACTCAATGTGATGAATTGAGATGATGTTTTTTTTATATTGAATTAGGTTGAACAATAAAACTTTATTGAAATCAGAACTAATTAGTATCAAAAAAAATTTTATTGTCGTTGACAAAATTTCGGGCACTTTTCATGTTAGAAAACTCGTTAAAAATGAATAACTACTATTTTATAAGAGCGTACGATGACATCTGAATCAATTCCTTCAGAAAATGAAGTTAATTTTCGTTAGAAAAATCAAAATTAAGATAAATACATAAGAGAATAGCCCGAACTTTGATGTTGCATAAACGACATGACTTTATTTTGTACCTCATTTTCATCATCTTCTTCTTGAAAACTCTATTTTTTCTTATCTGTTAATATTTTCTGATCTTGCATACCAGAATTCTCGAAGGAACTCCATTGTAGCCAAATGCTTTTGTTTCTGGTTTAAAAAAAAACCATGTGAAACTATAGTGCTGGTTTTTTTGAAACTAAGCTTTTCTATGATTATATAGAAAAGCACATCTATAAATAGATGACCAATTTTGTTCAGAGTTTTTCTACGTCTTACACTTGTTATACTTTCTTCCGCACAAAAATTAAGAAATAAAAAACAAGGACTCTGTCAGATACCGGATACCGACACACTCCTTGAAATAAAGAACAGCAATTAAATTTATAGAATGGAAGTCTACAAAGAATGTTGGGTTGCCAAATGAGTTTCTTTTTAAACTTTATTTATCGAATATCTTCCGAAAATGTCATGACCTACGTCTGAAAATTTCATAGAATTTGAATGCATTTGACTCAAAATCGATTCTTAAAGAGAGAAAGTTAATTAATAAAATTAGGTACTTCATCGTGTCAGTAGTATTGAATTTAATTGGCGAACACTTCAATTATGATAATCATAAATCTCTATATTGTTTCTCATAAAAAATATTTGAACAAGTTCTGATTAGCATTGAGTAAATAATAAATCATTCAAATCTCAATTGTTCTTATCTGCATCAGATAAGTTTTACGGTGCTGATAGTCTATTACAACTTTTGAGAGTGTAGATGAAAATCAGACAGGTACAGATTGTAATTGAAAATAATGTTAATAAAGTTGTTTCGCTTAGTGTTTCAATGGGATTAGCTAAAATTGATAGTTACTAAAATCAGTGAAGATTTATTTATGTACGCTCAAACATGAATATCTTAAAATTAGATACTTGAGAATCCATCGAAATAGTTGTCATGTAGCTTGAGTGAATGCATTTTACAAGCTTTTACCAAAAAAACTAAGGCATGTTTTAGCTTTCAGGTAGTCAAATCGGCCTGTTCTGATGAGAACAAAGTATCAATTGATAAGCTATTTTTTGATTGAGGCTATAATCATTAGACAGGACATAGCGAGTAGAGTTCGGTGGTTTCAAAAACTTAGGACCGAATTTCTTACAATATATCTCTCGAATGTGCAGTAATCAAAAAGTTCTTAATGTTTTTTTATTCAAGCTAGTCTACTGGATCAGGTCGAAAAACGCAAATATGATCCCTCTGGCAAATTGAGATTCTAAAAAAATTATAGAAAATCATGAAAAATTATTTTTGAAAATTCCTCTCAATGACATTATTTGCTTGCATATTACTGAATGCGTATTGAATTCCGAATGATTCGGAACCTTTAAAGTACATCAGAATTTGCATTACTGTATCTCTATCAAGATTTTTTCGCGTGTATCGTAGCAAATTCTAAGCATGGATTTGTGCATGAAACTTTGAAAATTTTCTTACTGAATTTATTATTCGAGGCACTTTTTGACCTTAAAAAAGTACATCTAATCTTTCATGTCTCCGTTTGATCATAAAAAATATAATCATACAGCACATATCAATAAAAATAACCTGAATAACACCAATTTTTTATTATCGTGCTTTAAAATATGTTAGATTTTACTACTGATAAACTAATATCATAGTCAAATAAATTTACAACAGGTTCTGTTCGTTCTATATTATGTAGATTTTTTAAAGTTATCAGAATCCATATTAAATGCAAATTACCAATGCACTAATTTATTGATTTATGGCCCACGTACGAGCCTTTTGTTGGCATTACATAAGCCGAAAACATATGCCTCGCTTTTTTACACGAGCTATAGATCGGATGTCAGGATTATGTAAAAATGAATGTCATGAATATAAACACACAGAAATATGCAATTATCAGACATCATCCCTGCAGTGTTTGACAAGTAGATAAGCGATAAAAAGGTACAATACAGTTAGTAGAAAGCATATTAAGTTTTTATTTTCATCGCAATAAATAAGAATGTACGACGACGAATGAAAAAAATAGCCTCAATATCCTAGTCAAGATACCAATAAAGTTGAACAACAATTGAAAGCAGAAAGTATCTTCATGGAATATCAATATATCGATATAAACCGTCTCTATTCTTTGGTCGATGAACCTGAAATATCACCCCAAGGTTCACCATGTACTCATGATTATCATCTCCAATGTGCTCCATTTATTTGTTGATGACAAGAACAGAATTGTTCAAACAACTGTCAATAGTTAATTCTTATCTACGTTCTATATACGTGTCTATAGAATGTCACAAGTCACTTATGTATATATTTAATCGTCGGGCACTTTCTTAATTCAAAATGTTGAAATAATATTATAATCATTCTTTTCAAATATATTCTCATATAGATTTATATTATATTTTTGTGGAACTACCATATGTTTTCGAAGAAAATAGTGAGTGTAAGTTTTAAGTTCGAGTTTTTGCGGCCCCCCCCCCCCCCCCTCCCCTTACATACAGGCAGGCTACCATTACAGGCCATAGCAACGAAAGAGAACATTACA